ATTCATCTTCTCTTTCAGAAACAGGTTTTTTTTTTGCAATCAGGTTTGTAGTTGTGTATCCTTAAGGATTTGAAAAATAGCAAATTTCAGGTCCCCTTTTTGAATGGCAGGAACCATACCTTCTATATCAACGCGAAATAGAGACAAATAAAAATCTGCTAGTAAATGCAATCCTAAGAAAAGCCATCCTATAGTTAGTGTTCTTACAGTACTGTATGTGTGACTCAGCCCTACTACAGGGTTCTTAGCCTAGTAAATTAGAAAGCCACCGCCCTTACGGGAATAATCTATGTGTAACCCAAACTACAGCAGTTCCAAATTCTCGGAGATGTTCTCCAATAGGGGCTCTCTAATAGGTAGGAAGTAGTCCGGCTGGTATCGAGGAGTTAAGTCCATCACATTCAACATAAAAGACGGGCACGCATCTACCGGCATTCCACCACCAGACCCCTCATGTGGGGAAACTGAAGCAGGAACCAAGGAAGATTCAAAGCTTTAAGGAGCGGTGCACCGAGCACCCGGATTCACTCAATCTACAGATCATAACTTATCACCACAAGCAAGTTAACCCATCATGCAACCATTCAAAAGTTTTAAGTTTTGGCCAGACAGAAAATAACAGAAGGTACAAAGCGGGGCCTTCTTGTCTCTTGAAAGGTATAAATTCATTGTACAGCACATCCGCCGTTGCAGAGTATCAAAAAGACCAATTTGAATAACACTCCCTTATCTCCAATTCCGAGGTGCCATTTCAAGCTCTTTCCACAAACCAACCTCCCCTCCCCAGCGAAAGCTCACGATAAAACGCCTCTTCTCTCCTCTCATATTTTGATCCAAAACCCTCCACAGTTTCCACGCCCATCGGTTCTATCCTAGGCCACTCCTAACAGCCGGCCCAAAAATCGCCTCTCATCTCAACAAAAAAACCAATCCAACTCTCAAAATGAAAAGCGTAGAAGAGGCCAACCTCGCTGCCTCTGCTATCCGCAAAGAGCTCGAGATACAAACCATCATACGAGACGCCATCTCTGAGGGAGCGAACGAACTTGGGACGATTATCAACCAAAGAGAGAGTGACGGGATGTACAAGAGCGAGGAGGAGTTACGGAAGAGTAAACTGTTTGTCGCACTCAAGGAGGAGCGCGAGAGAGCGGCTGAAATCACAAATGAGATTGTGAAGTTGCGGGAGGCGTTTAGCAAGGAGGTTGAGGCTGGTGAGATGGCAGCGGCTCGAGATTTAGCACGGGCTAGAAGGAAGTTTTAGAGAGACGTTTCCTGTTAGGAAGGGGGGGGGGAGGGGGGGCCGGGGAGAGGGGCCGGTGGAGATGGGAGAGTGATATTTGATAATCTCTCTTGGCCGTGGTAGATCTGTTTACTTTAAAATCGAAGAAGAAAAATCTTACAAAAACACCCCGTTCAACCGTTACCTCCCACTAGCTCCTATATATCATCGCGTAACCTGCAAAAAGTGATAATACTATCATAAAAGAAACCAACAAGCACCAGGCAGAGAACCGAGACCCCCCATACAGGCAGCTAATCTGAATTCACAAAATATCACTCGTAAGACCTCCAATCCCCTCCCAGCGCCAATTGTGCCCGTCTAAGCAAACGCCCAACCTGCTTGCACTTGTACCGCCAAATAAAAGCCATGATACACTCACGCCATGTTGGTATCCTCGCGAAAGGTTCGCAAAATGTGTAGCTACTCTTCTTTCCATGGGGTGGGTAAAAAAGAACTACCAGAATTAAACAAAGAAACTGTCAACCGGAAAATCCACCACTACGCGGAAGGTGGTGTCCTCCCCAGCCATCCTAAGAGCCTCTCTGGTGCCCACAAAGAAATCGCTTAATTCAGGCTTTTCCCTTAAGATCAGACAAGCAACACATCACAGAGTGGTGGTTGGGCTAGGAAAATGTGCAGGGTTCTTTACCCAGCTCTCAAACTACGTAAACAGACAAACCCAGCAAGTCTCTCTTTCACAGTAGCCCCGTACTCGGCATCACGTTCCAATGGTCTATCATAGTTTTAGCAAAATGGTCAATCTGTCAGGCACCTATTTCTGCCATGGCAACAAATGCCAATCCATACCACAAATCTGCTAAGACTAATTCTAAATAGGGTGAGGTGACTCAATAGCAGGAATTGGCGGTCATTTTTGTTCTAACCTAGTGATTGCATGTTAAGCCACCAAGAGCGCCCTTGATACTAACTTTATCCTTATGCATGCCAACTGACGGCGATTACGAAGATTACATGGTTTGCCAGAAACACAAGAGGCACAGAGTGGCCCATGCCCGCAGCGGATTAGGTCGGGCGCAGTTTCTTTCTCATACAATAGCCACTCTCATGACTCGTATGACACCGCGCGGCTCATGACATCTTGTTCCCTACATCACCGCCGGATGTCCAACCGGAACACTAGACTCTTCCCCCTTAACTTAATTCTCACCCATCCAGAGGCATTCCCAATTTTTCTCCCCAAAAGGTTTCGGCCTGCAGTAAACAAGCCAGAGGCCGCTCCAAACACCAGAACCACCACGCGTGCTTCCCGTTACCACCCCTCCAGCCCCCTCCCCCGAACACTGGATCCACCGTAATTGAGTAAAACACCCCACCAAGCAGCTATCCATTGTTTATATGTTCCAGCTAAGAATATCATCACAAGAGCAAAGGATTCCCGTCGGCTAACATTTGAAACCAAATTTATTCATTGCATCAGAATATCTACCACCAAGAGCACAGAACACCATATCCGAAAGAACACTACAAATTTCCATCCTCAAAAAAATCTTCCCACATCATTTCAAGGGCCAACTTTCCCGCCCATTGAAATACATATAATCATAGCCATCTCTCCCTCCCCTCCCCCTAGCGTTATCACTCACCCATTCTATTCCATCCAAATACATTCCTTAATTCATCACATTAAACCGGTCCAAACACCCTACAATCAACTACTCACCCCCCGCCTCAACAAAACTCCCAAAATTCCAGGAGCTGAAGACGCCACCCACAAGCTGCTGGATGAAGCAATCACCCTCCGAGACCAGATTCAGGTAGACTTGAACGAACTAAACATAGAGTTCCATCAAGGTAAAATCAACGGATACTACAAGAACCGTGAGGAGTCGATTAAGAGCGACGAGTGGTTAAATATCCGATACGTGGGTGAGAGGCTTGATAGGGCCACGAAGGATGTTGCGGAGTTGAGAGAGCAGGTGGCGAGGGAAGGTTGAGAGATGCTACGGGGGTGCTGTGGGGGGTGGGGCGGGTGCTGTCTACAAGGACCGAAGGTTGGTGGGGAAAGTTGGTGGGGGGAACCCGGGGGAGGAATAGGGGAGTTCTTTCTTGATATCTCCCCTCGGTCGTCATGGATCTATTTCTTTTCTTTTCTTAATTTAATAAAATTCAAAAAAAAAAAAAAACACCCATACCTCTC